TCTGCACTTTTTTCCTCTTTTTCTTTGTTTTATTTCTGTATTAGTTTGTGTTAGTTTTTATGTTCTCTTTAAAACTTTTAATAAAAAATTATATATACATACATACACACACACATATATATATATACACACACATACATAAATACTTTCATGGTATTCTTTGCAACCCAGAACCTCTAATCTGGAGACTTCTTTAGAAGCCAATAGACTGTTGCCTGCAGCTCCCAAACTAAGAGGAATATGCCGTGTACAGACACCCATGTATTAAGCATTAAGTATGTACACCACCTTGAGTTGACCCAAAGCACAATGAGACTTGCAAGATTGATGTCAGCCTCATTGGTATACCAGATCAGAAATTCAACTCCACAGGAAGATCAGAACTACACTTTATTGAGATAGGCTATAATAGTAGAACCTTGCAATTCTCATTGTGTGCTGCACTTCCCTTCCTTCTTATACTGCAGTGAATCAGGGAAGTGTCTGCTTGAGCTACTTCCAAGTATTATCTTGCTTCCCAGGATTTAAAGAATGTTTCGCCCCTGCCTAGGCAACGGTTCCAATGGAGTCACAGCTCTCATTACATCCATAAACCTAGAAATAGCGAAAGAATCCATATCATAAATACTACACAACACACCGGACTTAACCAAATACACCCAGATCGAAATACTCAGAATCATGGACCTCATCAACCTCTGCCTCACCACCTATTTTCACCACCTATACAGCCATAATTTTAACTGGGAAACTGTCAGCATTTTAGACCAAGCTAAATCCAAAAATGCAAGGGAATTCTTGGAAGCTTGGTATTCAGACAAGGCACCAATTAACAGACACATAAACAGCATCTACACACTATTCAAGAGAGACAAAAGACTAGAACAGCTCCTCACCAGCAATTATCACCAAGATACTATAAGCAGAGGTTACCACAGGGGATACAAGCAAGCAGCAAACAATACCCTAATCAAGGAACTACCAGAGGAACAAAACAAAAACCCCA